GTTGCAGAGGCAGGTGAGCTGCAGATGGGTGGGCAGCAGCGGGGCTGGAGCTGCGGCAGCGCCGGACAGCAGGGCTGGGAATGTGGGCAGCACCTGAGAGAGCAGTGAGGGACACCAGAACAAGGATTTTACTAAAAAAAAAAAAGAGGTCTAAGCCTGCATTTCAGTGAGGATGGAGAAGAGGTGGTTTTGAAGGGTTTGGAGAAACAGAATGGAACAACTCCTGGCAGGGGGAGCAGGACAGTCCATGGAGCTGCTCTGCACGTGCTGGGACCCATCCCATGGGTTCATTGAATTAATGTGTCCCAAGAATGAATTAATGTGTCCCAAGCGTTAGGAGGGAGGAGGATCTGTTCCAAAAGCCCAGCCCAGAGCAGGCTGGGGGAGCAGAGGGCGTTTAGGAGCCGTGGAGACCTCTCTGCTCCTTGGTGGAGACGGTGTTAATGCTGGGGCTTAGCGGCGTGGCGGGGCCGGCGAGGAGGAAATGGTTCTGTGTCTGGATGGGCTTAACACAATGTAAACTCTGTGGTGCTCACACAGGTTCCAGCCTGACGTGTGAAGGAGCTGAGTTCCCAGCACAGCAGCGTGGGCTGAGGGTTTCCTCACGGTGTTGGTGGAGCTAAAGCTGATGCACAGTGTCCGTGTGCCTTTTCCTCTGCACAAAGCATTGCAGTGACAACTGACACCCTCAGGGATGCCCTTCCCAAGCTCTTTCTTACACAGGTTGTTTGGCTAGAAAGAAAAAAAAAAAAGATTTATTTTGTACTGGGGAAAGCTTGTCCAGATTCTGAGGAAAATTGGTAAAACAGTGTTTTAGTTATAATTCATTGTGCTCTGTCTCATTTTGGAATCACATTTTTGGCCAGGGTACATCTGGCCAACGCTGCTGTGATAGTGCCCCAAGCCTTCCTCTTGGTTCTCATTTAGGTTAGAAAGTAATTAAAGGAGGGTAAAAAAAGAAGTGACAGAGTTACTGACTCCCTTTCCAAAAGTGAAGGGTTTAAGCCAAACACTCGCTAAGAAAATAAACAGAATTTCTCTTTTTTTGTTGCGAGTTCTTCCCACATATTGAATTTCCATGCTCAGTGACAAGGGGGATGTGCTCGAGTGAGCAGCAATTGGATTCTGATGGCCTTGGATTTGTTTTGGAAAGCTGGGGCTGTCCTGGGAGAGCAGGGTTTGGACCTGAGCTTGAGGCCTTGCTCTCTAAGGAGCACAAACCTTGCAGCCTGAGTTACCAAGCTGTAACTTCTGTGGCTGTGCCTGGAGATTATTTTCCTGCCCAGCGTCCTGCCTATCTGTGATAAAGCCCTTCCTCCCCGTATTAGGCCAACATTTGCTGGTCTAAGCCTAGAAACCCTTTTTAATTGAGGCACATTGCAGAGGTTGGCTTTTTTGGCACATGTGGGTGTGAATGTCCTTCCCACCTTCTCTCCTGCAAGAAGAGGAAACCCATGTTGGGATCATTTCTGCAGAAAGCAGTAAATTAGGGGCAGTGGGGAGTGTTTGAGAGTGTCCCAACCCCGGGACCCTCTGATGTGGGGCTGTGCTGGGCAGGGATGAGCCCTGGCAGTGGGGTGGGAGATGCTTTGGTGGTCACCACGAGCACCAGGGCTCCTCTGGGCACTTGGGGGTGACAGCAGATGGTCCCAGGGGAAGTGCTTTGGGAGTCCTGGGGTGATAAATTGATAAATGTGTCATGGCTCAGCTCCGGAAGCAGGGCAGGGAAGGATGTGAGTGACAGAGGATTCATATCCTGGAAACGCCGCCGTGTCACGGCCGGGGAATTCAGCAGGATAAATGCATTTGCCTGTCCTGCTGCAGACAATCTGCTTAATGTGGGAAGCAGAGTTTCCTGTAGCACCGAGCCAGCGGGAAGGGAAAACCCTGAGAGGCAGGAAGGGCCAGGGAGAATTAAGCAGGTAAACCCATTAGCAGTGACCACCTCTTTGTGTGGGGATTACACAAAGCTGCTGCTTTTGGATGCTCAGCGTCTGGGGAGGAGCCAGGGCTGCCAGTGGGGCCTCTCCCCTCTCCTGAGGGGCTCGACCCCGGAGCTGGGATTAGCACTTGCCACAAGCCACCCTCACTGGCCAGAACAAATTGCTGCACGTGCTGAGGGAGAGCCCAACCTGCAAGGACCGTGGTGATGCTGTGAGGCAGAGGTTTGGCAGGCTTTGCTCAGCAAATCCCTCCGTTCTTCCCAACGGGACCTTCCTCATGGAAATCGCTCCTCTTTAAGGAGCAGATTTACACTGTTCTACTACTCTGGACAGAGGTTTACCCCAGCTCCCTCCTCAGCTTGGGAATTCTTCAGATTCTGGCTCTAAAAGTGGGAGTCAGGGCACAAAGGGGAATAGATGTCCCAAGAGCCTCTCTCAGTCACGACATCCCAAAATGGTTTGGGATAATCTTGGGCCAGTGGGGAGGGAGCTCTGGGTGAAGGGTGCTGGGGGAGGGTGTGTGGAGGGGGGACGCCCCAGTGCAGGGAGAGCTGCAGGGATGGGCATCACCAGGGGCCAGGCTGGGGCTGTGGGGCTCCCTGGGTCCTTGCTGGAGCCTCTGAGGGGACAGAATCACAGAATAATGAGTTTGGAAGAGACGATGCTCCCCGACCTCATGGTGGCCAGCACTGCATCCCAGAGCTCCCATCCTGTGTGTGTCCTCCGGCAGCCTTCCCAAAATGCCAACCACAGGAAAGCAGCAGAAACCCAAGCTTTCCTTTTGCTTGGATTGCCATCAGTTCCCAGACCTTAATAACAGAGCATTCCAGGCTCCCTCCTCGGGGTTGGTTTGGCTCTTCGGGCCTGGCCGAGCTCTGTCTCACGGGCAAAGCAGCCGCGGGCTGAGAGGAAGAGGAAGGAGAGGCCACGTTGAGGGATGAGCGCTTTCGCCGGGAGCGCGACCCCGCTCCTGTCCCCCGCGGGGGTCCCGCCAGCCCCGGCCCTGCAGCTCCTCTCGCTCCATTCGAGGGCCAGATGTTGAGCCAGATGTTGGCGCTGCCGTGTCCGCCCGCTGGCGGCGCCGGGGATGCCCGGTCCGCGCTGCCCGAGCTGCGGCGCCTCGGCACCGCCACCTCCCGGCATCCCGGCGGCTCCCGTGTCGGCCTGCGGGCCCAGCTTATTTATTTACTTATTTATTTATTTATTTCCTTTATTCCTCGGTACCTCCCGGCATCCCGGCGGCTCCCGTGTCGGCCTGCGGGCCCAGCTTATTTATTTACTTATTTATTTATTTATTTCCTTTATTCCTCGGTACCTCCCGGCATCCCGGCGGCTCCCGTGTCAGCCTGCGGGCCGAGCTTATTTATTTACTTATTTATTTACTTATTTATTTATTTATTTATTTCCTTTATTCCTCGGTACCTCCCGGCATCCCGGCGGCTCCCGTGTCAGCCTGCGGGCCCAGCTTATTTATTTATTTATTTATTTATTTGTTTGTTTGTTTATTTATATTTATTTCCCTTATTCCTCGGTACCTCCCGAACATCCCGGAGGGGATGCGCGGTTCCCGTGCCAGCCTGCGGGGCTGAGTTTATTTATTTTCCTCATTGCGCGATGCCCCCCGCCCTGCAGCCCGGCCCTGCCCAGCGACCCTCTCACAGCACACTCGGGCTCGCAGCACTTACCGGGAAAGATATTCACGTGTAACGATTTTATTAAACCTTATAATTCTCCTTTTTTTGCCTCTCGCGCTGAGGACGAACACCCCGAGGTGAGCGTGGTTTCTCCGGGCAATGCTGGCTTGTCCCTCTGTCTGAAGCAATTACTGCGGCTCCCCCGGGGATTATTTTCAGACCAGGCGTTGACATTTTTCCCCAGCCGGGTGTCAAGCCGTACCTGCGGGGGCGGTGTCGGGGCAGCAGAAGCCCAACGAGAGAGTGCGCTGGCTTAATGAGGTGTTGCAAGGCAGCACAGCTAAATCCAGCATTGCACGGTCCAGCCTTCCAGTTTAATTAGAAACCTGGATCTCCCGCTCATGCATTAATTCACTTTTTTGACTTGAGCGACAGCTCAGCCTCTCACAGGGAAGGTGACTGCTGTGTTTAAGAAGTGTGGGTGTTGTTGGCTGTCCACATCCCCCTATCTTGCCCAGCTTTGTGCTTGCCATGGGAATATCATGCTGTGTCCACCAGAGCAGCCGAGCCAGGCAGTGGTTGGGTGCCTCTCTGGGCCCAGAGGAGCAGCTGGGACCTGCAGGACCAGCAGAATCCACCTTTCCCCTCTATTTCCTTGCAGATCCCACAGGTGGGAAGGACCTGGCACATGCTCCTTCCCAGCTGTGGCTCCAGCACTCCCATGCCAGCTCCCTGTTTGCCTGGCAGCCCTGGGATAACAGAGATGCTATCAGTGCTGTGCAGCAAGTGCAGAAGTTCAGGAGAGCAGTAATTAGCAGAGCAATTGTAAAGTACAGCAATTAGTGGCTAATTGCTGCTGCAGAAATATGCAAGGCAGCCTTTTTATTCCTTCCTCCATGTGGGGTGGCTGATCAGGTTTGCTGGGAGCAGGGAGCACTGGTGTCTTGTCCCTGTCCTTGAAGGCAGGATAGGACAAGGGGGAAATGCTTTAAGATGAAGGATGGTAGATTCAGATTTGATATTAGACAGAAATTTTTCCCCGTGAGGGTGGTGAGGCCCTGGCTCAGGTTTTCCAGAGGAGCTGGGGATGCTCTGAGTGGAGCATGGCAGCGTGGTGCCCTGCTGATGTTCTCAGCTGGCAGGAGTGGCTCTCGAGCTGCCCTCGAGCTGCTTGGGAGACGTGCATTGTGCCAGCAGTGGAGAAACTCAGCTTCACAGGGGCTTTGGGAGCCACCAAGGGGCCTCAGGGCCGTTTTTAGAGCTCCATTTGGCCAGACACAGAGGCAGCGGGAGGAATCCCTCTGGGAATGGGCATGATGCTCTGCCACCATCGTGCAGCCCCTTGCTGTTGTACATCACACCCTCACACCCATCCTCGCTGGGACAGCCTCAAGGTGCCCTGGAATGACTTATGAACAGCTTGTAGAAGAGACATATTTACTTAATAAATAAATACAAATAACATATGGCAGGTACTAGCATGAAACACACACTGCTGATGTTGTGAGGAGATAAGGTCTGAGGCTGGAGCTCTGCCTAGCTCAGCTTAGCATGCCCGGCTGGCACTTAGCAGGCTGGCCCTGGATAACGGGACTGATGCTGCAGTCTGGCACTGCTCGAGGGCATGTCAGAAGCTACACACCTGGATGGATAAATGCATCAACACACAGTGTCCAGGGAGCTTTGCCTTAGAATGCCTGGGGACACAAAGTGTGCGCTTCTCTGGGAACCGGCGCGACCCTCGGGCACATTTCTGGGTGCCTGGCAGGGCAGGTCCCGTGAGCTGCAGCGTGGTCATGGCACAGGGCACAGGGCTGAGGGTCATGGCACACATGGACACAGGGATGAGGGTCATGGCACACAGGGCACAGGGCTGAGGGTCATGGCACACAGGGCACAGGGCTGAAGGTCATGGCACACATGGACACAGGGATGAGGGTCATGGCACACACAGCTGAGGGTCATGGCACACAGGGCACAGGGCTGAGGGTCATGGCACACATGGACACACGGCTGAGGGTTATGGCACACACAACCAAGGGTCAGGGCACACACAGCCGAGGGTCATGGCACACACAACCAAGGGTCATGGCACACTTGGGCACACAGCTGAGGGTCATGGCACACACGGCACAGGGCTGAGGGTCATGGCACACACGGCACAGGGCTGAGGGTCATGGCACACACAGCTGGGGGTCATGGCACATGTGGGCACATGGCTGAGGGTCATGGCACACAGGGCACATGGCTGAGGGTCATGGCACACATGGACACACGGCTGAGGGTTATGGCACACACAACCAAGGGTCAGGGCACACACAGCCGAGGGTCATGGCACACACAACCAAGGGTCATGGCACACTTGGACACACAGCTGAGGGTCATGGCACACACAGCTGAGGGTTATGGCACACACGGGCACACACAGCTGAGGGTCATGGCACACACAGCTGAGGGTTATGGCACACACGGGCACACACAGCTGAGGGTCATGGCACACACAGCTGAGGGTTATGGCACACACGGGCACACACAGCTGAGGGTCATGGCACACACAACCAAGGGTCATGGCACACATGGGCACACACAGCTGAGGGTCATGGCACACACGGGCACAGGGCTGAGGGCAGGGGGAGATGGGGCCCCGTGGACCTCGGGAGGGCATCAGGGCTCGTCCCCTCATCTCTGCAAAGCTTCGTGCAGAGCAAAGGGGCTCTGTTTGGCTAGATTGGCAAAGCCTTGACCTAAAGCTCGGAGCTCTGATGAGCTCCCAGGAGGCAGCAGCAGTTTGGGGTTTGGGGTCGTCCCTGGGCTCGGGGCCGGGCCTCAGTCGGCCGAGACGGGCAGGGGCAGGAAGAGGATCGCCTTCTGGCCGTAGTGAGTCCGCGGGCCCAGCTTGCTGTTCCCGTTCTTCTTCAGCCCCACAAACCAGTTCTTGTCCGCGTGCATTTTGGAGACGTAGGTGTTGTAATGGTTTTCCTCGAGCCTCTCCAGGAACAGGCACTCCTCACCCAGTAACTGCTGAAAGAGAGCCCGGGGAAGGGACAGTGAGCCAGGGGTGCTCCTGACGTGACCATCCCAGCCCAGCTCTCCCCTCTGAGTCGCCATCCAGACCCACCTCTGAGATTTCCACATCCCATCTCTTATTTAAACTGTGGCGTAGGTGGCCTTGATTTACTCCCCTGGGCCACTGCTGTAGCAAGGTGTCTGTGACCTGGGAATTTTAATTGGCACCGACCAATCAGCCCCGTGCTCCATTAGCTGCTCCTGGCCCTGGCTCCTGCTCTGGCCCTGAGCTGTGTGGTGGCAGCTGCAGGCTCAGAGAGCAGAACCAGAACGGTTTGGGTTGCAAGGGACCTTAAAGACCATCGAGCTCCAGCCCTTTGCCATGGGCAGGGACACCTACACTGGGTGGCAGCTGCTGCTCCAGCTATGAAACACAATATTTATCAAATGTCAGGTAGGAAATACAATATTTGTCAGAGGCAGGGCAGTAAACGGCATTATTTGCTAATTTATTTACGTCCCCCCAAAATAAAGCCAGATGCAGAGTGGCCTTGCAGCTGCCAGAATCACAAACAGAGCCTAATTATTGCCTGTGGTTTGCATTACTGAGCTGTGGGGTGTCTGCAGCCTGCAGCCCTGTCCCTGGCTGATCCCACGGGGTGCTCCCACCTACCGAGCCGTAGAGCAGCCCGTTGGTGTCCATGGCCAGGTACTGCCCCGACTGGGTGCTCTTGATGTGCACCACCCCCACGCTCTCTGCACTCAGCTGGAGCTGGACTGGAGCGAAAATAAAACAACAACAGTGAAAGGAAAGTAGGAAAAGGGGAAAAAAAAGAGCTGCCAGGAAGTTTAGTGGGGTATTTTGTTGAAGTCTGGCTTATAAAGAGTTTATAGGAAACAGTACAGTGTGTAATAAAAGTGTCTCCTTGTACCCTCTTCTTCAAAGAAATCCCACAGCCATCCTTTAGGAACCAAAGACCAATTTTTCCCTTATTTTACATCAAAAGAAGGGCAGCCTTTTGGTTACGATGCTGGAATGGGACACAGGAGATTGGGGTTTTAATTCTGGCTCTAATTTACAAATTTCTCATGTGGTTTGACAAGACACTTAAGGAGTGACATATGAAGAAGTATTTTGAGAGCTAAGCCAGGGATGGGCAGACTGCAGATGCCTGCACTGCAACCCCCTGATCCAAAGCATCCCACCCAGCTGTCTGCTGCAGCTGGATTTATCCAGAGCACGGAGAATGGAGAATGGGGAAATAGAAAAGGCTGTGGCTGCAGGCACAGTGACTTGCAAATTCCAGCTCTTCCCAGTGATCCTTCCCATCTCATAGGCAGCTTCTTTCCCTAAGATTTATAACAGCAATATTTAGGTTGGTTGGAATGAAGTATGAACGGATGTCTCGGCTCCAGCTCCTTCCTTCCTGTTTATATTTAATTTATTTATCCTTATTTAGATGAGGTAAAAGGCAGTGTTACCTCTTGGCCTGGTGGAACACCCATTGCAGTGAAATCTTTGCTCTAATGGTTCACATTCTTCATTTCTGGCATTTCCTGCTCAGTAAATGATAGTTAATTAGGAAGTAGTGTTGTGGGTGCAGGTTTGCAGGAATACTTGGCCCCTGTGCTTGCCTGGTTTAGGCTGGGAATGTGCACTGGGAAAACCCCAGCCCACCTGCATTCCCTGAGGTGCTGCAGACCTGGGACCTGGCCAAGGAGCAGTGCAGGGAGGAAAGAGGGAAATGGGATGAAAATGATGATACTGTTCTAAAAACTGCCCCTGAGAGGGGAGTGAGGGACCCTCCTGCTGCCAATGGGATGCTGAGGTTTTTGGACCACAGGAGGAGGGAGAACAGCGGGTCCAGAGGAGGGAGCTTGTGCACTAAATTCTTTCAGGTTCTCTTCCAGATCTGTGCAGAGATTTCCTTCCACGAAGTAATGGGATGAAAGCGGGAAAATGAGGCTTTTTGTAGAGATGAACATGAGCTTCATCCTGGAGAATCTGCAGTGTCCAGGTAAGATTTCCTTCCATTCCTTAGAATGCCCGTGTAAAGGATGTAGGAAGTGGATCCTGATGTGGGGCTGGACACAAAGGCTTAGAGAGAGTGACTCCTTCTGCTGTTCTTAGAGGTCCTCCCTGATGCTGAGGCCATTTAAGAGAAGAATAAGGATTCTTGATATTTGTCTGGAGCAAAATGCACGTGGGCACAGGCAGTGTGCAGAGACCGGTGCAGCTGGAATGCTGCTGTCCCCACTGACCTCCCAATGAACCCTGGGTGTTCCTGTGCCTTGTCCCTCCCTGGGGCTGGCAGGTGCCTTCCCAGCTGGGTGACAATGTCCCACAGTGCCAGTCATGGTCTGGGCTGCTCCTCTTGCACACCAGGGAATGATGTTGAGTGGCTCCATCACGTCCCAGGGGCAGCACCGTGGGCAGGCACGGGTGCTCAGAGCAGGGTACCTCTCACCAAGGCTGCTCTGCTGGCACACAGCCCTTCCAGGAGTTTCCTCTGTAAATATTAGTATATTCCTATATCCCAGTTTATGAGCTCATTTACAGGAGGTTCCTTTCTGGCAGAGGTTTGCAAACACGCGGCCCCGGGCCAGCAGCCAGGGAGGTGTGAGCGTGCTGGGATGCAGCACTGCCTGCACTCCCTGCCCACGGGCACAGAGCAGCCCTGGGGACCATGACAAGGTGATGGAGCTGCTTTTCCAGAGGGAAAGGGACTGGGCTGTGTGACAGCATCCAGAGGGAAAGGGACTGGGCTGTGTGACAGCATCCACGCTGTGACACAACAGCCTGGGCCAGGGCACAGCAGTGGGCTCCTGGCCTTGGTGGCTCCCCATGCCCCAGGAGATGCCATCTTGATCCTGACCTCTCCTGATTCCAGCAAAACCTCTGGAAAATGCTGCAGAGACACTGCCTGAGCTCATACCACCTCTCCTGGTGTGTCTGTGAGCCCAGTCCTGTCTCTTGCAGATCTCTGGGTCATCACCCAGCCTTTCCAGGGGTTTGAGGGCTACGTGCCGGGTTTATTCCTGCCTGGAGGCTGGAGCTGCACGCTGTGTTTATCCAGCCTCGGGGGGCTCATCTTCATCCATCCCCCAGCACTGCCTCGTGCTGGGGAGACAGTGTTTGTAATTAAAACTCGGCTCTAAACCGCCTGTCAGTAAAACAACAATAGCGAGAGGAAAGGTTAAGTTTGGGGGTGAAGCCACATGTGTGCTTGTGGTTTAAAGAAAATAAAAGTGCTTTTCTTAGCACTTTGTAAGGCTGGCTTGGCTCCTCCCAGTCCTTCCTGCTAACGAGATAGGAGCCTGGCAGGTCCCAGTCCCATTCCAGTAAATGTTCAGGATATGAACCCAGAGGCTGCTGCCAAGAGCCGAGGGGAAGAGCCCAGCCCTGCTGCCCGGGGAGCCCTACAGGAGCTTTGCTGCCTGGCCTGTGCAGCTCTCCTGGACAGCAGGTTAAAACACCCTCTGAAGAGTTTTTGGCAACGCAAGAGCACAAAAAGCATTAAATTCCCAATGATTCCTCGGTGGGACAAGTGTTGGAGTCTGCAGGAGCAGCTCCTCCCAGCAGAGGGGCCAGAGTCCCACGGGCTGGAGCCAGCGGGGTCACTGACTGCAGGGATGGGGAGACCCTGGCCGGGGTGACCTAGGCTGTGGCACACGGATGACAGTGCAGGGACAGCACAAAATGATGCTGTGGGTGGGGTGCCAGGCTGCCCTGAGCCCCCCTGGCAGGGCCAGCCCCCTGTGTGAGCCAGCCCTGCTGTGCCCGTGTCTGCTGTGAGGTGAAGCCAGTGTCAGGTTCAGCTCTGGAGATATCTATGGCTGCACCCCATATCTACACCTGGACAGCACACGTGTCACACCTGCCCTGCTCTGTGCCCCAGCTTTGGGTGTGCCTGGCCCCAGGAGACGTGGCTGGGAGGTGTGCTTGTCCCCTGGAGGTGTGCTTGTCCCCTGGAGGTGTGCTTGTCCCCTGGAGGTGTGCTTGTCCCCTGGAGGTGTGCTTGTCCCCTGGAGGTGTGCTTGTCCCCTGGAGGTGTGCTTGTCCCCTGGAGGTGTGCTTGTCCCCTGGAGGTGTGTTTGGCCCTGGCAGGCGTGTTTGTCCCCTGGGAGGTGTGTCTGGGAGGCGTTTGCCCCTAGGAAGTGTGTTTGTCCCCTGGCAGGTGTGTTTGCCCCCAGCAGGTGTGTTTGTCCCCAGTAGGTGTGTTTGTGAGGTGTGTTTGTCCCCTGGCAGGTGTGTTTGCCCCAGCAGGTGTGTTTGGGAGGTGTGTTTGTCCCCTGGAGGCGCGCTGTCCCACCAGCCCCACCCAGATCCCGTTTCCCCCCCTCCCCACCTCCCATCCCGCTCCCCGTGGGTGCTCACTGTGCTGGTCGCTGCGGTCCCTGGTGCCATCCACGGTGCCGTCGGGCAGGATGCGCAGGAAGTGCCCCCCGTTGCTGCAGTACAGCACTTTGGGTTTCTTGTAGTTGCCCGCGGGCAGGTTGAACTTCTCCGTCAGGGCGCTGAAGGTGGTGATCTCCCCCTCGGCCATCCCGCAGCCTCTCCGGGGCCGGGCTGCAAGGGAGGTGACAGCAGGGTGACACCGAGTGCTGGCACACGCTGCTGCCGCCGGGCTTTAAAGGCAGGCAGGGAAGGAGGGAGGGAGGGAGCCCGGGGGTCCCGGCTGTGATTCACAGCCCGGGGGGATGCTCCCCCAGCGTGGGGGCTGTGTCCTCGCTGGGTGCGGCTGGCCAGGAGGGACTCTGTCCTTTTTAATTTTATCGCAGTGAATTCTGTTTTTGTTCTCCTTTCTATTGACGTGCGGGCTAAAATTACACACTCAGAAAAGCGGTTTGAAAAACAGCCGGTGTCTGATTGGAACCCGCAGGAGGCGGGAAGGGAGCCCAGGTAAAACCCTCTCTCCACTATTATAACTCTCAAACACAATTATGAGCAGGAATTGCAACACCCACTGCATGTCAGGTAGTAAATATTGCTCATCTCTTGGCACTCTGCAGCTCACCTGCCCAGGACACGCGTGGAAAAGGTCAGGACACACGTTAGATGTGGTGGGACATGGGCAGGGGCAGGAGCTTTCACTGCCTGGACTCAGCAGGTTTACCCAGACACTGATCAACAGTGTTTGGAAATGGGAATTTTGAGTCCAGGATATGCCATGAGTCAACCAGCAGCATCTCAGTGCCTAAAGGGGCTCCAGGAAAGGGGCTTTGGTCAAGGATCTGGAGGGACAGGATAAGGGGAATTCCATTGCCAGAGGGCAGGGTTAGATGGGATTTTGGGAAGAAATCCTTCCCTGTGAGGGTGGGCAGGCCCTGGCACAGGGTGCCCAGAGCAGCTGGATCCCTGGCACCCTGGATCCCTGGCAGTGCCCAAGGCCAGGCTGGACACTGGGGCTGGGAGCAAGCTGGTCTAGTGCAAGATCACATTGAAACCTCATTTTGCTGGAGACTGTGGTCACAGTCCCTGTTTAAGCAGATGCTGTGCCAAAACCTGAAGGCATCACAAGACCAATCAAAGAAAGATGCTGTGGATGTTGGAGGCTGGGAAGTGAGAATTGCTGTCACAGAAGTGCCATCACAGGCGTGGCATCAGGAGATGCCACAGGTGAGGGCCAGAGTCCCACGGACATTCCTGGTACAGTCATGCTTTTAGCCTAGAAACTACAGTAAAATCTCCCACAGATTCATTCTGTCTTTCATACACAGAGTTCTGTAGTGCTTGGAGAGAAGTGGATTTATGAACAGAAAAAGACATGGCACAGAATAACTCTAGATACAGGAAGTCACTTTAAATGTCATGTATTCCCACAGCTATACTACGGAAAATATTTTATAGTCACTGTTTGTATGTGTTTATAGATTGTAAAAATGTCTCTTTAGGACTGAGTTGTGCTACTGGTACGTTGGGATGGAGCCAGCACCACACTGTGTGGGTTTGCTGTGGTGCTTGGAGTGCCCTGGGAGATGCAGAGGGTGGCAGCTCTGCAGCACGCACACTCACACACATGTACAGACACACAGAATCTCCAAACACTCGGCTCTAAACTCTTTAGTATTTAAAAAAAATCTGCAAAAGCAGCTGCAAGAAGGGGAAACTACTCCTGGAAATAGATCCCAGATGTAAATTTACCTCCCCAGAGGTAAAATTCTGATTTTCTGAAGGTAAAAAAACCTCTGGAAGTTGGATTGCTGAAAGATGGATCCCTGGAGATGAAGAGTGTGGCTGCTGGTGAGAGCACCCCAGCCACTGCACCAGCTCTGCCTCGAGCACAGACTCCAGCCCAGGCCCTCAGATGGCCCATTTGACACAGACTGGGATTTTGGGAGGTGCTTTCTGGAGTGACAGCCCCCAGCCCCACCTATTGCTGGAGATGCAGCCTCAGAAGCTCTGTGGCTCCTGGTGGTTTCCAGAGCAGGTGGTGCCACATACAGACTCAAAATCTTTGTTTAACGCCATTGTCAGGTGAAATTGTTTCCTAGAGTGCCTGGTCCCTACGTTTATTTTTCTCTCAAGACAGCATCCTGTTTGCGTAGTTGAGTTTGCTTGCCAACTGCCAGCCTGTCCCTGAAGAAAAGCCCCAAGTCACCCAGGGTGGCACACGGGGCTCTGCTCCTCCACTGGGCTTTAATCAACAGCAGCAGCACTGGGTAATTTCCTAGAGCCAAAGCTTTTCTTGAGCCTTTATCTGAGGGTGAAAGGCACCCAGAGGTCTCCTGTGTTGGTGGTGGGTGGTACTGAGAAGCAAATATCCCAGCTCCAAGGGCTCTGAGCAGGATCTGCAGGCAGGAGTGAGGAGCAGGCTGGATTCCAGCACAGTCACCTCAAGGTCTGAGGGCATCTCCAGACAGCTTGAGCAGAGCAGCTCAACTGGAAACAGCTTCTTCATCATCACTGCTTTCCTCTAAGGTTATTTTTGCTATTTTTAGTGCTTGCCAGCTGCCCTGAGTGCCCCAGCAATGCTCAATGAACATTTTCCACTCCCCTTGTCTCCCCGTGCTAAATGCTATCGCTGTTCTTAGACTTTATGGCCATGGAGTTGTTCCTCTACAAACACAGCACTCATGGCCCTAGCATTATGCTTTTGGCAGGAACATGTTAGGTTTTTATGGGAATTAAAAAGCTCGAGTGAGAGAGGGAACCTGAACCAAAGACAACATAAAGGGCCTTATTTCTTTGGGTAGGAGCCCAACAATGCTATTAAATAGCTCAAAGCAGAACAGAAAGCTCTCTCAAATATGCAAAGCTGAGAGACACCACACTCCAGTGGTTAGCTGGAAGAGAAGGGAAATGGAGAAAGGGCAATATTCCAAGAGGAGATGGCTGTAAGGGGCATGGCTGCTGCTGAGCTCTGACCCCGTGGGTCACACCAGGGCTGGATTTGGAGCTGGGTCTGAGCCTGTTTGTCCACGAGCAGCTGTGCTTGTGGCTCCTCTCTCCTCCAGCTCTGTGCACAGCCTTGCTGTGCTGCCTGAGAGAAACCCACAGCGAGGAGGGGTCCCTGGGAGCTGCAGCAGGGCACCTGCTCCAGGACAGCCCCAGCTCCATCCATGGCATGGGGAGCTGAGGGCACCCAGCTCTTCCTCCTGGATGGAGAAATCAGCACCCCGGAGGACCAGAAATCATTTCTGAAGGTAAAAAAAGCCTTAAGAAGCGAGTTAAACCCGAATGTTCGTTTGATCCAGGTCCTGCTGAGCCGTGGGGGCTGCGCTGTGCTGCTCCCTGCAGCTCTGAGGGAGAGGAGCCCAGCTCAGGGCTGCAAGAGCCGTGAAATTCTGAGAAGTTTGGGGTCGCTTCCAAACTTTATCACTGGCCAAACCAGTGGCTTTGATGTGAAATCCCAAACTCTGCGAGCATCTGACTGTGAGCATCGAGGGCTGGTTGTGCTGCCAAGATCAGGCGTGTGAGCTCTGGAATAACAGAGCCACGGGAGGAGGGGGCTCTCTGCTCTCTGCTGTAAAGCTGTGCAGACTTCACTGCACAGCACCTGTCTGCATGACAAAGGTGGTGTTGATGGAAATCTGGGGGTTCCCTAATGGTTTTTTGTATGTCAGAATTGCCAGGAATTTTTGTGGCTTTTTTTTTTTTTTTTTAATGGCTCCTGTGGCACAGATTTAGTGGCCAGCAAAGACTCAACCCAGAGGTAGGCAGCTAAGGTGAGCCTTCTTTCCTTGGGTATGAAATACCTGGCTGCTCCATGGAGGAAAGCACAAGTATCTCAGCTACTGGGTTCAAACCAGATTGGATTGATTCAAATGCATCAAAATTGTCCTTGGCTTTGGACACAATCTTTTGTGTAGGGTTGGAAAGGAATGTTCTGCATGGCCTCTGAGTGGCCACGGTGATGAAAAGTGCAGCTAATCACAATTGTCATTTAGGTGATCAGCTAGAGATCACACAGAGAGCTCCAGAGAGATGAGAAGATGCTAAACCCAGGAGCCTCCTGAGGTTTTGTCCAGCTCTGAGTAATGAGATCAGCGTCTTGTGAACCTGGCTCTGGTGAGTTCAGTGGAAAGACTCCAGTTGGTTTCACTTTGGAAAGTGTTATTTTCTCCATTAAAGCAGAAATGCTGTTTGTTCCAGGGCGTGTGACTCAGCTGGGATCAGACACATCACCTCCTGATGGGCTCCCTTCCCATTCCCACTGCTGCCTGCAGCCACCTGAGCAGAACAGCCACTTCCCAGGCAGTTCAGACACTCCACTTGGGAATGGAGAGCTCTTAGAACAGGTAGAATATTTTTAAGGAATTCAGGCTCTGAATTGCCTTTCCCAGGGGTTCCTGTGGGCTTTGGGGCAATCTGAGATCTACCTGGGCATGTGGAACAAACACCTCTCAGATAAACAGGGATTTTATTCATTGGAAGTTTTAGAGAGCCATTTCATGGGATGGATTTCCTCAGCCAGGAGAGGATTAGAGACCAGGCAGAGGTTTCCTCATGCTCGGTGGGTCTGGGGTTATCATCAGCATGGGCAGCCTGCAAGGGCTGCCTGCCCTCCCGAGGGCTGGCAGTGCAAGGCACAGCTCGAATTCCTTGGACTGCACCTCCTCTCAGGATTTAATAAATGAGTAGGCAAAGCATGTGATAAATATTAATAGATCACTCTGAGTATCAGTGGAATGCACTGGCTCCTTTCTAGGCTTGTTTATGGCCAGGTGATTTTATCTCTAGTGATGTGATTAACTGTTTAATGAAGTATTTATCAGCCAGGTTTTACCCTTTCCAAGTGGAATATGTTGTGTGAAGTGCAACCAAAAGCATAAAAATCAATTCAACTAATGCCTGCTGTCATCATCTCCTGCTGCCCAGCAGAAAACAGCCATTCCACTCAGTCCCCTGGATTTGTGGCAGGTAAATCAGGGGGGCTGTAAAGCTGAAACTTTGGCAGTTCCCTCAGTGGGTGTCACTGATGGCTGATGACCAACACAGCAGCATCACGGCAGGGACAGGGTTATCCCATCCCAGCCCTGTGCCCTCAGGGATGCCCAAGGGGAAGCCCCATCCCTGCCCGGAGCCAGGTGTGGCTTTCCCAGAGCTCTGAGCCCGGGACACCCCAG